CATTTAGTGTAACATTCTTAAAGGAAATAAATAAATAAATAAAATCGATGTGTATTGCCCCTATAGTTTGCAGAATCTGTCATGTTGAATCTTGTTGTTTAGATAAAAATTTAACGCTAAACGTTTAGAAATGAAAAAACAAACAAATGCAAGTAGCAAAAATTTTCAAATGTTTTTCATTGTCTCTTCTCAAATTATGAATATAAAGTAAGAATAACTTACATAAACATATCTTGACGATGATTATTCACAAAAAAAATATATTAATTAATTAAGATATCATAATCTTCATCTATACTATGTTTATCGAGGACTCGGAGGATTGCTAAAAGAGGACCACTTCCTCTCTATTTTTTCTACATGCTTAGATGTCGTTTGATTATCAAGAATGAAAATTTTGAAATAGAAATATAAAAATCAAAATGACATTTACATTTTTACACTAAATTTGAAATAGTAATAAGAAATGATAATGAAATTTTAATTTTTGAATATCTAATTTTTAATATAAATAAAATAATAATTAAAATAATTTTATCAATTATAATGATAGTAAAAAATAATAGAAGTGATTGTGATAATAGTGATAATGATGATGGCATTAGAGGAGATGATGATAATAATAATAAGATAATAGTAGCAATAATATATTTTTAAAAAGTTGATACCATCACCATAGGAGATAACAGTAGAAGAAGAATCATGGTGATGATAGTGATGGATGAGGAGTAGTGGCGGAGTAATAATATTAATAATTTTTTTTTACACCATCATCAATAGTTGTGAGAGTTAGGGTATAATAAAAATGATGGTAGTGGTCGAGGAGGATTGAGAGCAAAATAATAATAATAGGTTTTTTTAAAAGAAAAAAATTATCACTAGTGCCTATGATGGTGATAATTATGATAACGATGATGATTGTAATAAAAATAATTGATATATAATAAATAAAAATGATATACAATTGTTGTCTTGAATCCACCAAAGCTCTATATTATTTGGTTTGGGGTTGATTCTCAAACTCACTCAACCAAGGCTTGAACTTTGGTGGTAGCATACCCCCTTCCAACAAAATCTTCAAAATAATAATAATAATAATAATAAATAAATAAATCTTCAAAAAAAAAATTGAATAAGTCTTGTACTAAGTAATATATATATATATATATATATATATATATATATATGACAAGTTGCAACTATATATTGACGGTGTCCAGACATTTTCATAATTAATTAAGAACAACAAGGACATCTTTGATTTGCTTTCATTTCATGGAGCTAATTAAGACCACGGTTTAAGACAAACTTAAAGGAAGAAGCAATGACAACAGCCTCGTCCTAATAAAGGAGCTTGGAATTGGCCATTAAAGCCAAAATCAACGCTTGCATGATTTGAAAGGTTCGTGGTATAATGATTAATAAGTAGATTTATATGTGTATTCTCTTTTATGAGTTTTTAATTAAAAATCTATAGAAATTTATTCTCCTAAGAACATACACTATTAAAATTTATTTTCTTCAAAAAAAATTAGTTTAGTTGATACCCAAACTACCTTAATAATATCTTTTACTGTCAAATAAAAGAAAATAAGTTAGCCACAAATTTGATTTTTATATCTAACAATATATAAGGATTGATTACTATGGACTTAACTTTTTTGTTTTTTCTTAAACTCACATACCCATCGTACATACTTAAGGCTCTTAACAAAATTAGTTTCCTAATATTTGAATTCATAATCTCTTACAAGAGATACCACTAGACTACAATTTATTTGGTTATGGACTTAGCCTGGTTACTAAATGAGTTTGGTTAGTAAATGAATTTATTTATTATGTTGATCCAAATCCAATATTTGAATTTTAAAAGAGATTATAAAAAAAAATGTTATTATCATGAATGTATACCAATTTTAGGTACCTGAAGATACCTTTATCATTAAAGAATGAGGATGCCAACCATCTTATATAGTCAATTTTCTATTAAAAAAAAATCTTTATTCGCATATATGAAAATTTCATAGTATAGTAATTTTCAACAAGAACTGATCTTATGGATTTTAAACCATATATTGAAAGATAATTTTTTTTTTCATTCCTAATTCGCATTCCGTTATTTCGAATAAGATTTGAATCCGAGATTTTGAAATGAAAATTAATCCCAAAATCTATTATTGTCCCTATAGGAACATTGAAAGTTATATTTAGAACATTTTTTGAAGAGAACCTAGTCCTATATTAACCTAATAGATTAGACTAACGGTTTAAACTCTCAAAAATATTAAAAAACTAGTCCTATTCAAGTATTAAAATAAAAACAAAAAGTTGTGTAAAGTTAGAAATTTAGTTTTAATTGAAACAAAAATTAATTTAATGCTATCTTTTCAATGTGGAATATGAATGAAGTTGAGAGTGAGCAACCATTCATGAAATTGAGATCTTTTTATAAGGATCAACTATTTTGAATGACTATTTTAACTTCAATAAAAAATCAGCCTTGTGAAAATTCATGGGATCAATATTATAGATCTTGTAGAGCCAACTACATATTATGACATAGAATATGTTGCTAATTTGAGTTCATTCTTGTTTGAGAACATATTTTCTATTAAATAGTTAAAAAAAAAAGGAATAATATATAATGTTGAAAAGGAGCTACCTACTATGAGATTTACGTTTTTTAAATGGAATTCGGTTTCAATTATCTAACTATATATGGTATCGGAACCCTAAAGAGGCTCGACATACAATGTTGAGAAGGAGCTACGTACCTACCATGAGACTTACGTTTGTTTGGATAGAACTCAATTTCAACTATTTAACTATATATAGTATCGAGCCCCAAAGAGGCTCAACGGCATAACAAAAATCCTAAAGCCCAAACCACTTAATAGACCTTCAAAGATGGGTTCAAGTGAGGAAAAGTGTTAGAAAACATATTCTACATTGAATAGTTAAATAGAAGATAAATAATATATAAAGTTGAGAAATAGTTACCCATCATTAAACTCGAGTATTTTGTATAGAACTCAATCTCAATTACTTAACTCTATATGTTAGAGAACATATCTTATACTTGAATAATTAAATAAAAGATAAATAATATATAAAGTCAAGAATGTTTCACCTTTCATAAGATTTGAGTCCCTTTCATAAGATTTGAGTCTTTTAAATGAAACTTAATTTCAACTATCTAACTTTATATAGTATCGAATCTCAAAAAAACCTAACAACCCATTAAAGATTCAAGCCATTTGACAAACCCAAAAGATAGATCGCAAGTAAAAAGAGATTTTAGAAAACGTATCTCATATTAAATAGTTAAAAAGGTAGGAGTAATGTATAATATTAAGAAAATGTCAATCACTATAAGATTTAAGTCTTTTGGATGAAATTTAATCTTAACTCGTTTAATTCTATAATTCGATAATTCTTAAATTTTGAGATACCCAAAATTTGGAATTTAGTCCAACTTCATTTTTAATAAATAGCATGAATAATAACAATTATATCTTCCTAGTGAATTCTTCCCGGATGCGCACCATACAAATTAAAAATTGAGATCTTTTGACAAGAACCTATGTCCATTTAATCCAAAGAATTGAGTTACATTATATCAAAGATAATGTGGAACCTAAGCTTTATACCAGAAATAAAATTTGTTAATTCTATAAGATCGATAAAAGAATATAAACTGTTTAAGCCCTATAAGCAGCCACTGAGATCAAAGTGAAGATCTCTTTGTGGCTTCCGATTGAGTGCAAGTGATTTGACAAGATTCTTGTCTTCAAAGTTAAGATGAATGAGTGGAGTGAAGGGCTAGGGTTTTGTTTAATGTTAGGGTTCAAAAAGAGTACTGTTTCTAAAGATTGACAGGGCCTAAAAAACAGAGAAGGTATGTATTTTTGTTACAAAGGCAAAAGGTGAAAGGAGTGAAAAGGCCAAGAAACAAGGAAAAGTTGTGGGGGAATGGAAAGCAACCACCAACATGGGCAGCTAGCTCATTGGTTCATAAAATGGGTTGCATGTGAAATTGCAATTGCCTACTTGCTGACTAGACTTTGACCTACCCCACGTAAAACCTATATTGGTTTGGCCACGCCACATGTGGACCAAAAAGCCATGTCGTGTCAAAAACAAATGGTGAGGGTGATGGGAAAGCATTACCAATCATATTCTCCATATTCTCCAATCACCACTTCAATCTAAAAGCTATTAAATAAAATATAAAGAAAGATTTTATATTATCTCTTTATCAAGTAAAAAATCCTTAGATTTAAACATATACGTACTTATCATTGTTTTGTGTATAAATTTTTAATTTATTTAATAAAAATGATAGCATCTGAATGGTTATTAAAGTATTTACAAAATTATTTCAGTTTAAAAAAATTAAATTAGTTAGAGAGACATATCTCATATGAAATAATATATAATTGAGAAAGAATTATTTATTTTAAGATATTAAGTGTTTTGGATATAATTTCCTTTCAATGACGTAATTACGTAATTTAATATAGTTGAACAATTTTTTAAAAATGTTAAAAGGTATATATATGGCACATGAACTAGTTAAACAAAACAAAATAAAATATACTGAAATTCAAATATTTTAAATGAAACTTTATTAATTTTAATTATTTAATTTAATAAAATTATTGGATGAAACCTGAGAATGATTTTATATTAATTAATTCTCAATCGCATATCATAAAAGAATATATAGGCTGATGATAGTGATTGAATACATAAGTTAGTGAAGAGTAAAGGCAGCTGCACAACATTGATTCGCACTCTTTTGTGGGACTATATAAGTTTTCACGCTACCATACTAGAGAAGCAATTTTAAGAGAAATTCTTGAGAGAGAAGAGGTAAAGGGGAGGATTACAGAAACCTCGTAGCTAGTTCAAACTAGTGGAAGGTTCTCTGTAGGGAAGCTTTCGAAAACCTTACCAATTATCATTACTTAAAACACAAAAAGTCAGAAAGTAGAAGAATGGCTCGTGGAAAGGTTCAGATGAAACGCATTGAGAACCATGTGCACAGGCAGGTTACCTTCTGCAAGCGCCGAGCAGGGCTCCTTAAGAAGGCTAGGGAGCTCTCTGTGCTGTGCGATGCTGAAATTGGAGTTTTCATTTTCTCCGCCCATGGAAAGCTCTATGACCTAGCCACCAAAGGGTCTCTCTCTCTCTCTCTCTCTCTCTCTCTCTCTCTCTCTCTCTCTCTCTCTCTCTCTCTCCCCTTTCCCTTTACTTTAACATAATTAAACAAAGACGCAAGCATATACATTTGCAGACACACCTTTTTTCTTTTTTTCTTTTTTTCTTTTTTTTAACACAAACGAAAAACGTGTCAATTTTTGCATGCATGTAACCATACATGAAATTATGGACATTTGCCCTCATGAGAGACGCAATAGGTATCATCTAATTTACTCTTGACAAGCTTTTCTAAAAGTTTGGTACACATGATTGGAGAGTAACTTAGTTATTGAAAATTCTCTTTTTATTGTTGAAGAAACATGCAAGGGCTTATTGAGAGGTACATGAAGTCCAGCCGAGGGGTGCAGCCTGAACCAGCTGCCCTGGAGACCCAGCCTGATCTGGTATGTAATCTAAATAACTCTCTTAATTAGACAGCTAATTAAGTATATATACTGAATGCACGTAAAAGTAGATAACAAATATACAAAAATAATATTCGTATTCTTATGCAAAAGCTTCAAGAGCATCAGATGCTAGTTCTAATGGTCAAAAAAGCATAATTATTGCAAAAATATACCCATATAATTTATACGCAATGTTGGTGATGAAGATATTCACATTCTCGCCGTAGCTTCATGACCCAACATCCTGATTTACACTTTCGAACCTTGTTTTTTGATAAGCCAAAAAATACATTTGCGAACCAGCTAGCTAGTTAATTAGGTTAAGCTAATGGTTAATATCTTGCTTGAGTTTTGTTAATTAGATCCACGTCTCGGTTTTGATTCCTAGCTTTATTAGATTAGATGCATATAAATCCATGTTCAAACAATATTGCAAACTGGAATCCGAATTACCAGAAAAGTGAGTGGAAGGGGTGGATGTGGGGCGATCAACGCTGGATGCCTACATTATGTATCTACACATGACAAAATGGCTATTTGCCATGTGTTAGATTGGATGAACTTTTGCTGTTTTGGACACTAGAAAATTGTTTTTTTTTTTTAATACATAGTATTTGTATTTCAAGTATATATATATATATATATATAACAATAATTTCCTGCTGCTTAAGACAGAAGGAATTCCTACTGTCCAGCACACGACAATCTCTTGAGCCACGCACATGTTGGGCTTCTTTTATTATTAGCAAATATAGTATAAATCTAATTCATTCATCTATAATATAAAGAGTAAGTTTTTTTGTTTTATAGACAAAAGAGTGTGATAAAACAAAATATTTTCGTTGATTAAAAATTATAAAGTAATTAATGATACTTATGCATAATATATAGTTTTAACGATTGCCATGTGTTAAGCAGAAGGAATTCCTAGCTACTGTCCAAGGCAGCAGGAAATTATTGTTCTTATATAACAACCATTACATAATTATATTAGTTAGCATCGTAGTTATTGTGAAAACAAAGGGTTAATAATAGCTCATGCCAGTCTTTTAGAGATATTATTATTATTATTATTATTATTATTATTATTACTATAGTATTTGTATTTCAAGTTGATGTTTTCACACTATTTCACTATTGATTATAACATATTAATTATGAAATGTAGAGAGTGTGTGCATATATATATATATATATATATATATATATAATAAGGCGATTCTATTTCGAAAAAGAAAAACCCACAAACTAAGTTCCATAGCTTCGGATCACTATCCCGATAATGATTTTCTCACTTCCAAAGGGAAAATAGTATATTTGTTTCTACTTCATCAGCGTTTTCTATGAAAATAATTTTAATTGGATTCTAATTGATAAAAATAAAATTTTCTTTTCTTTGACTTTGGATTGGACAAAAAGAAAATGAGATAAACATTTTCCTGCAAGTGTTTTTCTAACACTAAATACTAAATACTAAATTTTAGTAGTTATGTCTTTATATATATATATATATATGTCATTTTTTCTTGTTACAAATAATATATACTATGCATATTTAATATTTAGTTAGCACTAGCCTTTTGCCCGCGCATAGATGATGAAATATCACTTTAAACTATAAATTATCAGTTATTGCAAGCTGTAATCATTTTTATTTGAAGATTAATTAAGAACCTATTGCTTCCATCAGATATTAATGTATCTCTAAAAGAGAAAGGGGATGTTCTTCTTTTCCAGCAATCCATCCAGCAATAAATCAATAGGAACGTGTTTATCTTCTTGCCATATTAATTTGAGTAGAATTCATTATAAAAATTTCGGAAGAAAACATGTTAGAGATTATGCCAATATCATTTTCGATTAATAACCGTTGATTTTTTTTTTCTGTTATTATATAATGTTTTAATTGGAATAGGAGAACAACATAGCAAAAACAGTATTGGAGTTGTAATATAGTACCACAAATAAAATAAAATGAAACGACATGTTATCACATGTGTCAGCATCATAATCAAGATCAATCCTATAATTATAGGATGAAAAAAAAGATAAACAAAAAAGATAAACGCTCAAAGATTGATAGTGCCATTATAAACATATTTATACTTATTTTTCAACTATTGGTAGGGTTGTATATTTTTTTACGAACCTCGATCATTTCTCTAATTAAGTCTTATATATTTCATTAATGGGAAACTAATCTATGATTAGGATGCGAAGGAGGAGATCATCATGTTGAAGCAAGAGATTGAAATACTGCAAAAGGGACTGAGGTTTGTATGCTTAATCTTTATATTTTTGCTTGTAATCAAATGGAATAATGATGCAGCTTATACATGGCATGTGTTAGCTAGAATTAGACGTTAAAAGCATATACAAGCAATATCAACGACACATTTAAATAAGAATAGTTATGTGTAATAATCATTTGGATGAATGCAAAAAAATAAAAAATAAAAAATCAATCAGATTTGCAATCGTCAAAATGCTCACAAAAATAAGATATAACATCTTTTGTCATAAAGACATAACATCCTTCATTACAGGTATATGTTTGGAGGAGGAGCTGCGGAAATGACCATGGATGAATTGCTTGTTCTTGAAAAACATCTTGAAACTTGGATTTATCAAATTCGATCAACCAAGGTGTCGAATTACTTCCAAACCAACTTTATTTTGCTTTGATCTCTTAATACTTATATTTATCACAAGTTGAACTAATTAAATATTGGCTTTCAGATGGAGATTATGCTTAAAGAGATCCAGTTGTTGAGGAGTAAGGTTAGTACTCAATCATCAATTTTTATTTATTTATTTATGGATTAACTACAGCTATTAACATATTAAAATGCATATGACACAAAAAAAGGGTATCCATTCAAAAAAAAAAAAATTGAATAGTTCTATGCTAGGACATAAAGCTAATTAGTACTTACCTCAATTAATTCTTGGCTACCGTTTTATTAATTTGTTTACCTAATTAAATGTGTTCACATGTGGGAGTAGTTGATTAATGGATTTGAGGTTTTTTGCGTTCTTAGAAAAATATATTCGAACTAAAATGATGGATTTATTTTTAGGGCACGAAATCTATTCGAAGGATAGGCTTAGTTACTAGAAAAATGTATATATGATTAAAAAAAATTTAATTTCTCTTGTAGAATAAATAATATCAAGTACCAAGACACAATTTCTTTTAAGAAAAAACATGAAAAAGAAAAGCTCAATCTCCAACTTTAATACAAAACGTGGCCTCTTTCAACCAATCCATAGCTGGTTAATCACATATACAATCAAAGGATTCGGTTTCCAACCTTTTAAGCGTCCAGGATGGATGTTAATAGATTGTCCATGGATCCACCAAGATCACCATTTGAATATGGCGAAATCCACATGTTATGATATAATAATAAAATTCTGAAATAACCGTTGTTAAGGAATGTAGTCTGACATTATATTGGCTGTCTTATTTTGATAGGTTTAATTCTCATTATTAACAAATAATTAACTATAATTATTCATTAATGATATCAAGTTTGGATTAGTTTACCCTAAGAGATAATCCAACATTCAATTAAAAGTTAAGCGTATTTTGACATTAATTTAGTTTTGAAAGTGATGAACTTCATCTTGATTAATACAAAAGATTAATTTAAAAATACTTCATTATCTATAAATATCAAAATAAATAAAAATCTAAAATGCAATAACATTCTAATTAGAACGTTTTTTCTTCGATGGTGGAATCAATAATCTTAAGTTAACAGATGGAGGTCTAAATCTTATCTTATTTTGATATATATATATATAAGGCTGTTTGTGCTATACATCTGTTCATTTCTACATCTCTAGAAAGGATTTGAATCTAAGATCTTCAAGTGAAAATTTCAGACTTTAATAATTTGAACATCCCCTTGGTGATGCTGCAATTAGTGATAGAAAAAGGGTTTTAATCAATCCACAACCTTGGGGAATAAAGAACACAGAGGAAACTAATAATTTTATCACCGAAAGCCTTAATAGCTTCTTGTAGTATAATAAATATATAAAGCAATCAAAGCCTGGAATTGCAGCAAATTAGGGAAATCAAAAGCACATAGCGCCCACAGTCAACATAAACAAATAGTGAAATAAAAACAGTAAATAAGATAAATGCTGGAAATTCCAAAGTGATAATGATCTTGGCAACATATGCAGTTCGAATCACAAAAGTGCTAAAAAATGTGCATTAGAAATAGATATTGACCTCATCTATGGATTTTGTGAGCAAGCTTAGGTTACAGAGCTTTGAATAAACTGTTTGTTTGAATGAAAAGCTACGACCATAAGCTGTTTATTTGGCTTTGTGAGCCGACTTTTTTAGTTGATTTGGTTTGTATTCTTACATAATAGCCCGTTTGTTTTGTTGTACATCACATAAGGATAATAATTGAATTTTTTTCATCGTATTCATTTTAAGATGTCTATTTTCCATCCTAGCCACAAAGAAAATGCTTGTGCTCCTCCATATATATACCTTAACTTCAAACATTTACTCACAAAAATCCTCTAGTGATGTCAGTTAAAATCCTCTAATGATCTTAGTTAAGTCTAAATAGAGATTATGGATTGTGAAGCTTTGACTATCTTTTTTAAAAAATTTTCAAATCACCTCTCTAGTCTCGTTATTAAGGATTTTCTTTCATCTTGATTATAGCTCAATCCAGATTAGTATAAAATATAGGATTAATCAATTCATTTATCCTTCTATTTTAGAGATATCCTCTCATATGCCTTTGAAGAAAAAAAAATTAATAATTAAATGCCAACACATTCACATGTTATTATAAAGTGAAAAAATTAATCACTTCTAGCTTTATAGGCACCACATTAATAGATTAGTATTTGAAATTTTTATTTGTAGAAAGTAATATAAAATTATTTTTAAATTTTTATCTAACGAGTTAACAGTTTACATTTTTGAGTTGAGATGAAACGAAAAAACAAAATTAACCATTCTATATTAGGGACTCAATTATGTACTTTAATAAATACTAAGCTCGTAACCATTTTAGGATGATTTTTTTATGAGACATTCATAAACTTCCACATTTTATTTCAATTCTGAGACTCTATATGAATTTGGTTTTCATAGGAAGGAATGTTGAAGGCTGCAAACCAGTACCTCCAAGATAAGGTCAATGAGAAATTAATAAATATTTTATAAGAATTTCATTACATTTTTTGAATCTAACCCTAAAATGTTTGTTTTGCATGCAGGTGGAGGAGAACATTCAGATTGCTAATTTTGCACCAGTGACTACTAATATTCCGCAACCACTAACCATACAAAATGAAATATTTCAATATTAGGAATAGTTGTTGGTTTAGAGTGCAACAATTGGGTTATACTTAATGTTTTAAGCAACGATCGATTGGTTATATTATATTCGTACGATGTGTTTGCATAATAAGTAACAAACTTTAGGGACCGTTACATATTCATTACTAGTTGTATGATGAGTTGCTTATCAATAATGTGTTTCTCACCAACAATGTTTTTGTTTTGTTACAGATTAATATAATGTGTGGCTTTGTAGTAAATATTGATTATTGATTATTTCATTTTCTTCTCCTTCGTACAAACCTATCAATGCAATTTATGTTTTAACTAAAGGCATAAGATAGATAGAATTAGCCTCTTTTTATGTTATTCTTAATATGATTCATCGTGTTGGTTAAATTTTGACCTTATAATTGAAGTTAAAGACTAGGATTTAGTTAACTAGATTTTTAGTGATGGGATACACATCTATTAGTCTAAACTTATATGATTTTTACAATTGAGTGTTTGATATCTAATTTTATTCAACTATTAATGTTTGATAGTTAATTAGATTATTTCATTTTCATTTGAACTTTAGATTGTGCACAATAAAGTGCCTAAGTTGATATATGTTAGTCGAATGATGACATGTTTGTTATTTTTTATGTTTTTCTTTAACGACGTAATATCGGTTCCTCAAAGTACTAAATTCGTCACTAAATCCACAAAAAAAAGGAATTAGCGACAATCTAATTCCACCCAAACCGTCGCTAATTTTAATTAGCGACGGTTTGATGACAGATCTTAAAACTATTCATAAAATGCTCGCTCGCTAAACTTTTACAATAGTTTTTGAACCGTCGGTAATCCGACGACAACAACAACCTTTAAAGAAAAATGTAGTTGAGAAAGCAAATTAGCGACGATTGTTTGGACCATTGCAATATTTTCAACATTAGCGACGGTTCCATTGCTATGATTTCCAAATTTTTTAATCCTCATTTTAAATCTCCGAAATTAACCAATTAATATTTAAAAGTCTAAAAAGTACCCAAAAGATAATATTTTAAAATTTCATAATTTTTATAATAAAATTTATTAAAATGTAATAAATATTATTCAATTATTAAATTCTCATTAAGAGTAAAAAGTTTGTTGTTATTACTAGAAAACATGATAGCTAGGAAAGATTTGCAGGATCGTCACTCGGAGGTTGGGTGGAATCATCATCAATGTTAGGCAAGGCGAATGAACTGCCAGACTTACTACATATGCTCGTATAAACATCTACTACATATGTGTCATCATCGCATTTTATTGTCGAGTGTACTCCTTCAACTCGTTTGTTGTAGCCAACAACGTTAAGACAAGTACCTCGTGGCTCTTTCGTATTTGCATTAGTTCGATCTTCGAATTCTTTTCGTTGTGCCTCATAACCAACATAGAACCACAAAGTTGCCGAACTAAAGGATGTACCGATGTTAGAATAATAGTGAGATACGTGTGATCCGAGTCCATACAATCCTCTTCCTCTTACTATCTCCTCCACCAACTCGCCTTCCTAAAAATCTCATTAATGTTGATGTCGATTGATGAAGTCCTCCGTGTCCGTCGACTAGCAACCTCTTCTTCGATTATTTTTTTCTCGCAATCTCCTACATAATTATGAAAGATATTATATTAAACGAGCTATGTGAAATAATATTATAAATTAATATGTATGAAATGACGTTATAAAATAATAACTTACTCCAATAACTCTTGACCATTGATCGACAAAAACGTATTGATCATCAACCTTTTTCCGATGAGTCCTTAAGAAAACCTTGTGTGGATCAAGTTCATAACCTAAGACCTCACGTTAAAACAAGTATACGTAAATGTATGAAAGATACTCAAATTTTTAATTTATTATATTGAAATCACTATTAAAAAAAATAGTACATATATATATATACACATACACACACCATGCATATTGCATGCTCTCTATAGCTGATCGATCCCCCGTATGCCTCGAAGGACCAGCTCCGACGCCACCGGCCTCACTCCTATGGTTCCGTCCCGCTATCTCGGATCGGGCAATAGCCTCGTGTTTTGCCCATTTTGTGCTTCATGCATCCCATATGTCTTGTGAAATAAATGTAGGCTTCGAGCTTCCCTTAAGCCGATAAAGAAAGTCGAATATCGCTTTCATGTCAAACTTTCTCATGCTTTCTTAATGTTTTCTCGAGGTTGTTATCCCACGTAAATGATTTTTGTAAGAAAAATATTAATATTCATTAGTACATTTGATTGGACATTATTATTTTTTATTTAAAATGAAGTGATATAATAAATTAATTAAATAAAATAGTACCTTAAACTCTTTCCAAGTAGAACTCTTTTGTTTCCGGACTCATGTTCTTCTATGTCCATCCGAAAATGTCAACATACTCGTGGACGAGTCTTAAAGATTCGATGAGCACAAAAATCGAAGGATATAACCTATGAAAGTAGGTATTAATTTAACAAATAAATAAATACATAATTATGGTAATAATGAAAAAATATTTTTTATAAAATTAAACATAAAACGTACTCATTGCGACCAACGAGAATGATCGTAACTCATAGATCGACCATGGATCCGATAGGTTTCGAAGCCGATGTACGACGAACGTTCTACGATGGGACTTGTTCGGGAACAAATGGTTGTCCCGTTGTGATGACGAGGGCGCCGATGAAGACGAAGGGAAAGATGGGTGGGGACGTGGAGGTCCAAAAGGATACTACTTAGGTTGAGACAAGTCAAGCCACGAAGGGTTTATCATGAGGGCACTAAAAGGGTGATACAAAGGCATGTCCATAGGAGGGTCCATCCGACTAGGAAAGGAAGGAGAATTTCATCCACGTCCACGATCACCGTCGAATTAGGATCCGAACCGTGACCCTCGTCGTCTAACATAGGCCACTCGCATTCGAGAACGTCTCCTACCTCGAGGCATTATAACCTACACATTATTACATTCACTAATATTTAAATTAAATATTAATTATATAATACTAACATATAACATTCATATTAACATGAATAATTTTAAATATATTTATTTAATGAAAAACATATAAATTACAACATAAAATCACACGTATATTTAAATGTTACCTTAAAAAGTACAAGTAAATTGTATAGGACAACAAAACCATATCGCTAATCAGTATCATGATCATCATTGTCACATTCTCTTCTAAGTCTTCATCAACATCCGTTTTAAACTCAACTTCATTCTCTACATTAATTTCACTCTCTTCTAAATCTAGTAATGCTCTAGTTTGATCATTCAATGAGTGACCTTTGTCATCATTAACTTGGATGACATTGTGTTGGCCTTCTATACTATTTTCTTGAAAGGGTTTGGTAATTATTTGGTCAATGATAACGGATAATTCGGGCACATCCACCATCGGCCTAGGTTTTACCTTGCATACTCGTCAACCAATTATGTCCGATGTGCTTCGATGTAGGATATGTTAAATAATACACTCGATGTGTTTGTGTTGCTAGTATGAAAGGATCGGTTCTATTTGACATCCTACGACTATTGACCTTTACTAGTCATAATGACCATGAACTCTTGTATCGGTCTTGGGTGTAGTATCATACCAATTACATTTAAACAATACGATTTTTTTAATTGGTAAGGCACAATACTCAAGTTTTAGTATATCGATCAACCTACTCGTAGTAGTCATTTTTTACCATATCGTAACTAACTCCTTTTACACACACTCCACTACACATTGTTGCTCTCTCCAAACCATGAACATTAGTGTGAAACTTATACATATTCACAATGTATCCCGGATACGACTTAACTATTCGCAATGGTCCTTTTATAAGATCTTTAATGAAATGCAACAAGTATTAACCTCTGCATAAATACATGACGGGCATGACTTTTCATGCCATATAATCCGAGGTTATTCATATCGACACACCTTGTTAAGTTCGATACATATCCGTCCGAAAGCTTAAATTGTTTACTCCATTCAAATAATTATATTTTTTTATTGTTTGTGTAGAGTGTAACACACTTTTGGGTATTTTCTAAAGTTTTCATCTATTTCTAATTTGGGTCGTCGACAATATACCTTCAAGTCTTCTCTAGAATTTACATTGTCTTTATTTTTCTCGAGACACTCATAACTATATTAAACACATTGTCAAAGATATTTTTTTCAATGTGCATCACATCCAAATTATGTCAAATTAAACTAGAACTCCAATAAGGTAGATCCTAAAATATACTATGTTTTTTCAATCATAAGATCTAGATATATTATTGTTAAACTCTTTAGAGCCCTCTTCCGTTACTTTCAACAACCCTCAATGGTGTAATTCTTGTAAAATTATTGTTTCGGACTTGATGGGAGGAGTAATGTCCGTAACAATAAAATTTTGCTTAAATGTGTTCCTGTTTCGCTCGAAAGAATGACTTTACAATAGAAACTTTCAATGACAATCAACTCATGAAGTCTTTCTATCGTTACGAAGACCGAAAGCATCGAATTTCCCATGCAATATGGGCATGCTCTCTTACCCGTAATACTCCAACTCGACAACATTTAATAAACAGGAAAATCACTAATTACTTACATAACGAGTAGCTCTCATCTAAAAATTCTCCTTACGAGACTCCTAGTTCCCATAATTCAACAAACTCTTTAATTAAGGGTTATAAGTACACATATAGATTGAATTTTTTTAGAACCTAGAACAATTACGGTTAATAACACATATTCTTATTTCATAAATTTTCATGATGGCAAATTGTAAAGCGTTACAATCACGAAGGCTATGAAGAATATTATTGTCCAGATTTACCAAAAGATCGAAACCCATCAATACAAACACTCAATCAAACATTTTTAATTCTTTATATAAAAGAAGGACGTGTTTGGTCAAAATGCCACCATATGAAGGAGTCTAAATAATAACGCATGATGTCTAGCTCACCTATATGTTGCGCATGCCACGTCATGTCACCAGCAGTGGCGGTCGATG